GTGGTAGGAAATTGGGAAAATCTAGGAAAGTGGCAAGAGGGATGAGGAGGGGGTTCCATTTTGTAGGAATTTGATGGCGATGGCGTGCCTGGCTGGGAGATCCGTGCCGCGACTCGCACCATTTTTTCGGTCAAAAGTGCACAGGAACGAGGCTGGAGGCATCAGTTCATCGAGCGGTGTCTCCATACTCACCAGTGCCACTTGCCTGCATCAATTAGGTCTCGGTACGACCCCCCCCCCATCCCCAGCGGAAGAGTACGACCCCCTATGCGTTTCACACAACGATGCTGTACCCTGGCGAGACCAGTGCCTGCCTGATCATGCAATTGTTCACAGATGCGCAACTGTACCCTGCGCCCATAACTGGATGCGCTACAAACGCATGGCGCCTCCCATGGGATCCTGGCTGTAACGGCTTTTATTCTAAGAAGTTTCGAGAAGTAATCAGTCCAATCAAAGGATTAGTGAGGGAAGGCAAACCTTGTCGTTACCCTCGAGAAGCAGAGCCTTGGCAAGGTGAATAGCTTTGAGGAAGATCTCCCGACTCGGCTCTTCGGTGATAATGTCGATGACTAGATCGGAAGCTCCAGCATCGTTCAAACGACATTGAATATCGTATAGTGATCGTTCCTCCATTCGCAACTCATAGTCTTTGTCGGCGTGTCCCACAGCTGAAAAGTTGGAACCACTTGGAAAAGCATGTGTGATGTTCACGTTGGGAGGTCGGGGGGCATATGAAGAATTCTTTATGCAAAGGAGGAGGCTATTCCAAGGAGATGAAGATTACTGAACATAGAGAGAAAAGGAGACCAAGGTGGATGAACCAGCTTCAATGGGTAATAAGAGGTTAGTGCCTTCCAACAATCATTTGAATGTCTCCTCCCCCCCCCTCCCTTCCAGGCACTATCACCAAAGCACGCTCATTCTGAACATAAACGATGGCAGGGATATGAGCGGGGCTTTCGCTGAGGCAGTCTAAACAGTAAAGCCAGAGTGACAGTTGACTGCCGGAATAATGTCGTGAATTGTTCGCCGCCTGAGCTCCATCACGAGCGCTACGACCATATATCTTTACTAGGGCCCAGCACAGCTGCTCATTAATCAGTTTCGGCAAGCTATCAAGCAGGATTGCAATGGGGATGCACTTGGGAGGTAAGCCGATGAAGAGCATGAAAGAGAAGGAATGGAAAACAGGAGGGAACAGGGAGAGAAAAAGGGAGGGTGGGAAAAGAAGATTCGGCGGAGACCGGCAAGGGGGGGGGGGGTATATTGCACGTTTGCTGCCTCACTAGTTCCGATTTACAAGTCTCACTCTGGTGAAACCTGCAAGCTCTTTTGAAGCTTGTCGAATCACCATGGTAAAACCTGTCAACACTTGTAAGCTCACGGAGTGGCTCTCTAGATGGATCAACGCGTCGATGAGAAGCAGAGAATGCCTTCCCCCCCCCCCCCTTACGTCGCCAAACTGCCGGAAGATTTAAACCTTCCCCGCTGATCCGCACGGGGGCAGGTGGAGTGCACGCATTGTGACCTCAATCACTTGACATGCCCGCTTATCTTCTCGGAGGAAATCCTACGAATGACCTTGTAGGAATCAACATGAATGGTGCATTCAGGAAAGCAAATAGTGGGAGGAGGGGGAGAGTAGAGTAGTTTACAAAGATCAGCAGAAAATCTGAGAGTGATGAATAGAGGTTAAGAGGAAGAGGAGGCCCGCAAAGAAGGCTCAAATTGTTATCGCGCCAAATAAAAAAAAAAAAACAACGAAAAATAAACAAAAAAAAAGGCCGATATTTGAAGGTGTTGTGGAGAAAAGAGTGGGGAGGAAAAAATCGGATGACAGGTTAGGAAGCAAGAGCAGCTACAGGGGACCAACAAGTTCTGGCAATTTTTCGTAAATACTCGTTATGCATAAAACAAGCTACCGTTTCGAAAAAGCGAAATCAGCCGACTAAACGTCTGTGGGGAGGGCTTAGTAATCGAGTACAATGACCGGTATACAACAACGGTCCGACAAGTATCAAAAAATGTCTCCTTTCAGCCTTCAATACATTTCTACGGTTAGTTCGTTCCAAAGGGTCCGACAATGGTCGCGCATTCTTCTGCTGTAGTTTGGTCCTAAACACGCAGCAACGCCACTTTCAGGTGGTAAACCGTTGCGCATCGAATTCCTGAGATTTTTCGACCTAGATGGAATAATCCATAGGGGTTCGGACCATGCTAGTTGGGAGGCCAAACGTCCTTGCCCCAAAATCGGGAAACAGCTCTTCACAGCTGGCAGTTCGTGGTCTGCAGGATGTGCTGTGCTTCCAACTTAGCATGCGCAGGATGTGCATGTAGTCTTGCTGAAGCACATGTCCATCCGGGCCGAAGTGCTACGACACCCATGGCTTCAGTACATCGCGGAGAACGCGTTGTTGGGAGTAGACAGCATTAATCTTTACGATGCGCTCGATGAAGAAATGAGAGGTCTTTCCGGTGGCACAGATCCCGCCTCAGACCGTGACTGAGGCTGGAAAGAGTCTGCGTCCGACGGATTTTCAAGCGTTGCTTCTGTTAACCTTTTCTGAGGGCAAACATCGGTAGTTTGTGGATCGAAAATTTTTCACGTCGGTGGCGAGCACATTCTTCAAGCAACAAGCACCGACCAGAAGATGGGTTTCAACAACTGCAACTTTTTGATTTTTTCGAGACAGTGCGAGGAGAAATCGAAAGTGATTGGATAGATGACTCGTACGGTAGTTCGAAATGGCTTGCGGAATACAAATAACCTATCGGAGAGAAAACAGACCATAATGGCCATTCAAAAACGCACAAACACGAAATTGCCAGAACTTTTTGGTCACCCTGCTATATATTTCATAGAGAACTCATGCTGAATCTGGGTAAGAAACACACATTTACCACCATCTGGGAAGTCAGCCAGTTGATCTAGTCGTCCATGCGGTCCGAAGTATCGTTGCAGTAGTTTCGATCGAAGTTGTTCACCCTTGAAATAGTTTAATTAACCCTAAATTTAATAACTGATCGAATCTCTTCAAACAAAACAAAGCAACTAGTAAGCTCCATAGCGTCAACTAATCGAGAAAAAAAAATTACGCATGCGCCTACTGCTTTAGTATGAAATGAACGAGGAATTTTATAACAAAAGAAGCTGGAGAGGAAGTAATGGCTTCAAAGCACGAACAGGTTACCCACCAATCGATGACTGCGAATCGAAAATCGCCCTCTCTGGAATACGATCAGCCTGCTTACCCGGTATTACGAACAGAACAAACCATGAGAGTCGCATTTCGATCATTTACTCGATTTGGCTCAAAGCTTGCTTTTCGATCGATAAGCTCGATCGATATACAATTGAATGGGTTAAGATTTAGTTCCATGGGTATGGACAGATGCGCAACTATAAAAAACATATCTGTGCCACACTTCTAAGGCGGCGCTATACTTTGCGGCAGTGTCTTCCAGCGTTCGAGCGTCTGGCAGCGTCAGCGACTAGAAAAGTGTAGATATCGATCTAGCGTCTGCCAGCGCCCATCAGCGTCTACCAGCGTCTGGGAGTGGAGAGTATGACGTGGTGGGAGGGTAGCAGACTGCTGGCAGAGAGTATTACACGATAGGAGAGCAGAGCCAGAATATTGGCACACTCCTAGGTCACCACACTCCATCAGCAGTCTGCTGCTGATCGCCTGCGACTGGCAGACGTAAGTTCCGATATCGCTAAGTTTCCTAGCGCTTGACTTAGTGCCAGACGCTCGGTTAACCGGTTGGGAAGCCTGATTAGTCGTTGATTGGACGCTGCTGCAAAGTATGAACGCAGCCTAGGTTCGCCAATGTAGTAATTTATAAGCGCAAGCCTGCTCACCTCACCTATGACAGGACAGGCAAATGCGCACAGCCTGCTACTGAGCGCACTGAAACCGTCACAGCCTAGACGTCTCCAGCGACATGCGTGTGGTCGCTGAAGGGACGTAAATCTATTTGTATATTAGTCATCCCATCAAACGTCCGCTACATATAGATGAATGGCAAAAAGCAAAAAGGGGATAGAGCAGCGACTACTTATACCATTTGAAGCTACTTACTAGCTGTGCTATCTGTGGAATTTAGGCAAACCTAGCCTGCTGAAAGAAGTTCTCGAGAAATTGGAAGACAGCCCGATGCGAAAATCGGCCCGGTTTTTCAAACAGACGTCATAAAAAGGAAAGGCCTGCCTCAAATTGGACCTGCCCGGCCAATTGCTGTATAAGGATTGTTCTACGAAATACACGTGCGAAGATTTCGCGTCAGCGAGCCCGTACAAGGAAGAAAGGAAAAATTTGCTGCGTGGATCGGTCCCATAAATATTCAATCGCGCAAAGAAAAAGGGTGTGATGAAGTCAGGCACTGAATATCTGATCACAGAGCCTGGACCCTTGTCGAGCTTCCCCGCGAGTCTGACATCCCAGCTGCAACTGCTGCCCGAGTTATGTCCGATAAACTGAGGATGGTCAAGAGGGTGGCGCATGGGTACCTAATTTTCTTATAGAAGCACGAACGCAGTACCGATTCTATACCTCTAGCAGTAATGTTCTCAGCATGAGATGTCACTCACAACTGTGAAAACGCACCCCGGCCTTAGATGAAATATGGGTGGTCTCGGACCTCGAGTCGAAACTCACAATCGTCAATTTTCTATGAATGCAGATGAGAAGCCGCCCGAGTTCTACCATGAAGAGTTACGTGGGCGCAAGTGGATGATCATCATAGCAAAGGATTCCCACACTGTGGCTTTCAAGCGGCTCTACAGAGGACAAATCCGTCACTGTCGGTGCATATTGCCTGTTCCTCGGCATTCAGATCGACAAATGGATGCTACCACACAACTACAAGAAGGCCACCGTTGCTCGTCATAGTACCAGACCCCGAGTAACTGTATTGTAGATCAGTGCTGGGACACAAACAATACTGAGACTAAAACCTCGTTCAATCGCCCATTCGCCCGTCATATAAGCCTATGCGATTACAATGTTTACTATTCATTTGAGAGTACTCTCCAATGCAACGCTACAATGTTTTGTCATTTGCCGAAATTGGCAACAACAGCAATTTACCCACACTTATTGAAAAATCGAAGGTACCAGAGGTCCAAAGGCCCTCGGGGCACTGGGAGCGGGTCATTGGTGAAGGAGAGATTTACTCATCCTAAAGCTAAAAATATCACTTTTCCTATCTAATTCTCACTTTTTATTCAAAGAAAACCAGCGCACGTTTGTAATGGATGACCTTATAGTTAGAGAACAACAATTCCGTTCGTTGCCCTATAGGTTCCTGTTTCGAGTGCTCTACAACCCTCCACTCCTTGAAAATAACTTATGTTGCTGAGTCGCAAGAGAATAGAATCACTGCCGCTGTACCCCAGGAATCCCCTCCCCTCCCTATGCACTGGGTGGCTAACATTGGCACTACTGCCTCCAGCGCGCGCGGCCAAACGCGGAGTGCCTAACGAGCAGTGGAGCCAATGAGGCAAAACGCGTATCATGCGTGCATTGGAGGAGGCGGTACAACATGGGCAATTGAAAGTACCTCAAACCTGGCAAACTAAACAAGCGCGCAGGACTAACAGCTAGCCAGCGGGATTTCTTGGCGACTGCCGGAGCCATTTCGATGCACCAGAGGTCAAGGGAATACAACTGAGCAGATCAGATGACCTGCAAATTGACATGATGGCCAAGCGGAAAATGGCGAAACGAATGGAAAAAGCGGCACGACGCTCGCTAACCAAATGGGGATTCGGAAGAAAACAACAAATAAGGGAGCTATTTAGGGAGAGACAGAGAGACAGACACACGCAACGAATAAAAAACCATAATGTACAAGGAATATGTCCTCCTGCGCTCTCTAGCTTTCCCTTCGCCTTCAATGTTCCAATTCTATTTAAAGAGCCTAAATAAACAGAGAATCACCCCCAAAGCAGATGGGTGAAATAGTAAGCAATAACAGACCCTGTAGTGACCACAAACCACCGAGACGCGCGCGTTGACAGTGCGGCAAGCATCGTGCAAATCAAAAGAAAATCTTCCAACAATAGGGCAGACTGTTCAAAAAAACCCTGAAGTAGAGCTGCTCCTCTAGTCGTACTTTCAACTTATTTTGAAAACAGCGGCATAAGAAACGGAGAATCTAAAGTCGGGAGGCTCGTCCATTTGCATTATACGCGCTGCAACCGCGCGCGTCTCTCGCACGAAATACACCCAGTGGGCATAAATTTTTACAACTAGGAAAAGCAATGTTAGTCTATCAAGTTATCATAAGCAGGCTGTCGCTTTGATAATCACCAATGCATGGTTACTTCTTTAAGCCCAATGATTTCACAGTATACCTTTTGAATGAAAAATGGTAGCAACACCTGTTGACGATGGCTGAGGACTACTGCGCTTCTGATATCCTAAGTTATGTACTGGTAATGCCGGCCTTTATCAAAGTGCATAGCCCGAGATTTTCACGACAGCTTGTTATTCTGTGAGTGATTCTAGCACCGCTCTGTTTGTGTTGATGGATTCTCCCTCGTACCCGGCCTTATAGTTACCGGTTGCCCATTCCATGAATACGCGACCCATAGGCTATTTGATTCTCCGCTTTAGGGAGTCCACCTTGCACCAATGTACAGTAACCAGCACTTTACGGCTAGTAGAGTCGAGTTACTTGTTGTTCCTATTACGTTGTATCTGTTAGGTTCTGGTGTGAATGTCGCGCACGTGACGTCACTTGCCGCGCGGTACAACTTCCTCAGCTGTGTCTGGATAAAAGGATAACACCAGAGCACGTCGTGTGCTGGAGAATTCTCAACGGGGAGGTCGTCTTTAGTCACCAGAGTGAAAGGGTCATTTTCAGCCTGGGGAAAAGTTTTGTTGTAGCTGACTTTTCCTGAGTCACGCGCCATCCATACCGGGATACATTCACCGTACTTGCTTACCGCTCTGGGGGGTACTCATATCGGGCCTTAAAAAATTTTTGTTTGTGCGAGAAAATTTTTTCCATTGTATTCTTTCACCTGCGTTCCCTTAAATTAGCGAACGCAGCAGTTTCCTATAAACTTACCACTTTCATAGCTGATTTAGTTATTGTTAATGCGACCTCTCCTTTCTCACTCCGCAAACGATGCTCCCGGGGAAAACAGTGGAGAAGCGTGGAAAACTTCCAAAATATGGCTGGCGCGTAAGATGAGCGAACGTGTGGAGTCGCTCCTGAATAGGAAGAAATTTGGGTTTGGGTGCCGTAATTTCAAGACTTTTCCAAACGTACAGCTCGTGGCTGACCACGAACAACAACTGTCTAGGCAACAGATGGAATAGCAGAAACATGGGGATAGCCACTCTGAGATGAACAATAGAGGAGGTGAGAATCGGCGACGCTTGGATATCCATCCGAGGACTCCTCAAAAACTTCGTGTCGCTAATGGCAGCCACGTGAAAACCCCCCCACGTGAGAATCTCATACGTTGAAAATTCACGGGCCATCAAAGAGCCTACAATGATGCAAGTGAGGAGAAAGAAGGAAACAGACAAGTTGTCCGTGTTGAACATATTTCCATGGATTACGCACCCGAGTTTGACACGACCACACTTATAAGAGCAAGAAAACGGTTGAGAAACAAAACGTCTGATCGGTAGAGGTCTGTGTTGTGCAACTGTCACATTCGCAAAAGCGTTGAAGTTGACTCAGCATACAAAGATTGGTCTGCTGTTCTGCATCAAACTTGCAGTGCTGGACTGTCAACCTAGATTGACCTTTTCAGTATGGTTTCGCCAATATTCTCGGCCCATTTTGGCTTGGGGGGACATGCACTTCTTGCTCACCATTTCACAAGACTTAACGCTTTCTCTGCAGCAGCTGACAAGCCGTCTCTAGCAGATTCTGACTATTATCACCCGCGGCTTCACAGAGCATTCACAGGCTTCCACTGATGGCCTCACGCAGTGCATGGAGCAGGTCTAGCTGAACAAGCGTCAGAAATGCCCACCTCGAGCCACAGTGAAACTGCAGCCATCATTCTCTACCAAAGGCATCCTTGCCCTCTGTTCGGGGAATTATTTGTTAATTAAAATTTAGCTGATATCGGCACAATCAGTTGGGCGGTGCCAAGAGGTCGTAATTGATCCCGCCTCCAGCTGCTTTTTCTACCAATAGTGATCGGCTAGCGATCGATTCAGAGAGAAAACAGTCACTGGAAGGAAACACATTGGATGGGCTCTTACCATTACCGATGCCCCTTGCAGGACGACGCCCAAATCGAATTGCGACGATATTCAACTGGCACCTGCGATGATGTATTCTAGAAACTGTCACTCGGACATCGGCACCTTTAGCGCACTGCTCGCGTATAGGGCTGAACTAACGGAAAGAGCATCCGGCTGATATGCCAAAATACTATCAGACTATCACACTTCCTTCAGCACGGACACTGCCAACCGCAACAACATAGAAGTTTGACAATTCTCCGATCATCATCTAAATGTCACAAAGTAAGTCACACTCGTCGTGAAATCTCCGAGTTCGTGTAGCTGAACCGGGTCATATAAAGGGTTCAGTTCGTTAATGTTAATGCACATCAAAGTTGATCATCATATTTGTGTTGAATTAGTAACTGGTTGTAGGGAATGAAGGGAGGGGACCGAAAGACGATTAGTTCACTACAAGGCAGTTTGGCTTAAGGATTCTTGTTATTATTATACTTTGTAAATCGATTCATATTGATGGAACACGACTGCAATTTTGCCCGTGCGTCAGAGCACGTAGTCTATACTCGGCATTACTGGAGAAGCTTTTCGCAAAAGTACGGACCCACCCGCTCAGAAAGTTCCTTTCTCTTAGAACGACCACTCCTCCTGCCCCCGTTCGCGTCCACCTGTCATTTTCCTGGATTTTTGCGACTTCCTGCCTTTCCGTAGTTTGTTCCCAAATGTCTTTTTTTTTCTGCAAACGGGAAAGCGCACTTAAAAACAGCAGAAACCCAGAAAAGACAACCAGACACCCTTCTTGGAGGCAAATGCGGTCCCTCCCTCCAGCAACCAAATATGACTCCCTTCCCCTCGCTCAGATAAACGAAAACGTCTCATGTCTGCACTACATGATGCTATTTTGCCTGCATATCTAGAAAACAGCTTATTACTCGAAATGGACATCTGACCACGCGCTGCGCCTACAGTGAGTCCTGATTTTTTTTTAAATGTTTCGCCCTAGCAAATTGTATTCGCTTGGATGTCTTATGTTATCCTCCGATCGCAGTCAACATTTTGGTTAAGGTCACTGTCAATAAACCGGTTCATGAAAGTCCCAAAATATTAAAAAAAACTTCGATGAGTCGAAGGTTTCTCAAGAGGGCCGTGTCCAATAGGTCTCCATCATCCCTGGGTTGGGATGGCGTGGGCTGCATTACTACTTTCTCACAGGTCTGTGTCCTGTGGGAAATCGCGGGCGGTAATTCCTATCCTCAAACACGCATAGTCAGGAATGACAGCGCTCTCGAAATTCATTCCCACTGGATAAGGGGAATCGGTCTCCCAGAATAAATGGTAAGGGTGAAGGATAGTCCCGCCGTTATAATTCAATACCCTTATGGCGATTGCGGGCGCGGTATTTTACTTTCAGAAATGTAGTCGCACATATTTGAATGCGATTGGCCTTATACCAATCCACTTGCTGGGCCAGCCAATGTGACACGCACTGTATTTATCCCTACCCAGGACGAATCTGGCAGCAATTCACCGTAGAAAGCTTAGTTGGCCTGGCCGGGGCTTCGACTAGGATTGACCGTGCGTTCGGCGCGAGTGGTCAAAAGCGGCCACCACTCGCGCGTCCCATTGTTCGAAATCACACAGGTCGACTCCCGCGCATATCAGTACAATCTCTATCCCCCGGTGGTTCTCGCGGAAGACATCCAAAAACTTCCAACAGTACGCAGCCACGACCCTCGCCATCTTTGGATATGAAGGACAGCGGGGACTCATGGTTAATAAATGGATTAAACCCCAGAGCCAAACTTCAATTACTTACGTGATAGCATGTGACGACGTTGGCCACTTTCTCATTTTGGTTCCGTAGATTAGGAAAACCGGGCATCTTCAATGAATTGGCGCGATTTCGCATAGACACCGAATGCTGAGAGGCATGCATGATCAATGATTAGCATGACAACTTTTAGTAAGGAAACACAGTCCACGCTGATCCATATAGCGGCGGAGTGAGTTAAGGCAGCTGCATTGTGTTTGAGAAGAAGAATGGGAAGCTTGACTCCACCCATACCAACAGCATAAACTGTGCCCAATAAGAACTCCGTAAGAAGGATGATAGTCCGTAAATTACAGTTAATTAATCACTCTTGTAAAGCTTAGCTTTCAAAGTCTAGTATTAGCTGGAGAAAGCATGCTAGGGATGAAGTGAAGGATCACATCGCGCGACTGCATGCGATCAAGATAAAGTCGTTTTCACCTCATATGCTGGGGCGTGCCAATGGGCTGGATTTGGCGCGGTTCCAGCCTGTTCATCACTAACTGACGGGGCGGGCAAGGGACAAACGTGCTGGAGCCGTGCCATGCATAGCCCTCTAACATACCACAGCATCTGCAGCGAACAGAGCTGCATAACGCCGACAAATTGCCGGATTTTTCACGCGGCGCAAACTGAATGTGGCAGGGCGTGACAGAGGGATGAACTGGAGCCCAGCAGCGACTGAGTTTTTCACCAATAGTGGCGCTTTCCGGCTTGCAACTAAAACGCTGCCGCCGCTGGGCTCCATTCCACCATCCGACACGCCCTGCCGCACTGCTATGCGCTATACTTGCTTGGCAGGGGAAAAAAAGTAGTTCAGGCATACCTGACTTATAAACCTCGCCGAGTTCGCCGCACACTGCCAACGTTGCTTCACCGTCGGGGCGGACGAGAACGGCGGCATTGTGATACTGGCCGGCACAGAAATTTTGTTCTCTTCCGCTTAAAAAGAGAAGTATTACACCATTTTCACTTAAAATTCACCACTTTTCGAAACCAAATTCACCACTTTTCCACTTCACCTCTTAAGTCATCACCACTTTCCAAATCAAATTCACCACACTTATTAGGCCGGGCAATTCATCAACCAGATCACGCAAGACACCCTGCGAGCCCCGCTCCGCCGGCCAGCGCGGACATAGATTTTTGAATGTTGCTTCATAATTTCTGCTTCTGTAACTTTTCTTGGGTTTGGCAATCCAGGCTCAGCCCCTTGGTCGCGCCCACTTGCTTTTTGCGGAATTTTTTTTTCAAAATTTTTGCATTTTTGGACTGCTACGTGAAGCCCCGCCCACTGTGAGAGGCTCCGCCCACTTTGAAGAAGCCCGCCCCACTTAAAATGGTGCAAAGTCGGCAGTAAAGAGTACTTGGCTTGCATGCTATGGGTCCGGTTCGTTCACTCGGAAGCAAGCAGAATCAGGCAAAAATTGCTCCGAATGGCGTCAGCACTATCTAGCATGCCAGCGGGGCTCTCTGCTTGCCCCAGTTGCACCACTTTTTGAGAAAAAGGGCGGGCCCTACTCCCAAATGGGCCGGAGCCTCTCAGCAGTGGGCGGCTTCACGTAGTAGTCGAAAACGTGAACATTTCAAAACATATCAAAATTTCGGCAAAACAGCAAGTGGCCGAGGGACGGAGCCTTAGATTTAGCCAACCCTTCTGAGAATTGAGCCGGAGTGGGCCGCTGTGTCGATGCTCCAGTGCGTTTTCACCGGTCAAAGTGTGATGTGGGACAATAGCAAAATCCAAGAAAGAGTCACGAGAAGCCCGAAGTTTAATGAACAAGACATTGAAAATCTATGTCCGCGCGCGGCAAGTGGCGTGGCCGTTGGGCTCGCAGTGGTGTTTGGCCGTGATGTGGTTGATAAATTGCCCGATTAATAAGTGTGGTGAATTTGATTTGGAAAGTGGTGGTGAATTTGGTTTGAAAGTGGTGAACTTTGGTTTGAAAAGAGGTGAATTTGAAGTGAAATGGTATATATCATGAACGAAGTTAGGTAGCCAAGGAGTTACAGTATGTCCGGAAAGAAGTTCATTAGTCAGATTTACCCCATTTTCTCAGCCTTTTGATACACTGATCCACTCTGTACCAATGTTTCGGGGATTGTGATCTCTTCAGACAGGTGTTATGAAGTATGCTGAGCTGCTGCAGTATCGCGGTGAACATCTTCTTATGGGCCTGAAACAAGGCGATATAGTCATACATGGTGTTCAGTAGGGAGTTTCTACTTCTATTTCGTATCGTACTGATCTACTCTACTCTACTGACACAAGCGTTTGTTGAAGCATTCACAAATTGGGCGCTGTTTGCCGACAGGGGAGGGGCATTTTGCACTTTAACGACTTCCCATCGACGTGTCGACCCATCTAGACAGCCTCTTCTCGAGTTGACAGGTTTTACCATGATGGCTTGACGAGCTTGCTCCAGCTTCACAAGAGTTCACAGGTTTCACCAGAGTGAGACTTGTAAACCAGAACTAGTGAAGCAACGAAAGTGCAAAATGCCCTCCCCCGTCGGCAAACTGCGCCACAAATTGTCTATATTGTGATTTATAGCGTGGCTATGGGTTACACTGTGTCCATGTGTGGGAGTGCACAGGATGAGAGAAACTTCAGTTTCCGCATTCCAAATTTCGAATGTTTACTCTCATACATCATGATGCGCACCCAAACAAGAACTCAAACATCTAACGGGTTAAGTGCAGTGGGATGTGTTAACTAGGGGGACGTGTAGGGTTAAAGAGTTTCCGCGATAAAGTGGTACGGGTATTATGTGCCGAGTTACGAACCAGTGGCCCACAAGTAACTCCCCAGTAGAGAAAGAAACGAAAACAAGATCTTGGGAACACTCTGAACAGAGACCCCCTTAGCAGTGGGCGGCGCCTTGGACGAGTTTGTCGGACGTCGGCAAGCCCAATCAGCAGGATTCGACGTGCAACCAGTTCCCGGCAAGAGCACAGAAATCACCCTACGACGCTCCAGGCAACGCTATATACAATTCCGCTTGTAAGCCGTTGTCTTGCAGAGTGAAAGTAATCGTGGTTT